CCCTCCACCCTCCATCGGCATTGTGGTGCATAACAAGTTGATTTTCATTTTTGGTGAACTATTCCTTTAAGATAACATAGGGGTGTCTGACCTCACAAAAAAAGGGTTTGAACCTCCAGTCGAACTGGACAAGCACAGTTAAAGTCTCAAAGATTGGGGGACTGCCACCTGCTGTCCAGACTGAATGCTCCGTATGTTCCGGACATTTTCCGGTTGTGAATCCGTCTGACCCGGAAAATCCTGCTTAGAATTTAGAGTTCATGCCCACAAAGGGCTTTACCGTAACTAAATAATTACTCATAAATATTTTCTACACTATCTTCATCTTTCTAATTCCCTAAAGCAGCTGAAGCCAACCATCTCAAGCTAATGCTCCAGCCAGGTCCATCCTGACCATAATGCTCATATAATGAGGAGATTTCCAGCTGGATTCACTTGTTTAAGAATAATGTTAATCCAGAGAAATGGCTCATCTCTTTGGCACTGCCCTGCTTCTGTCTGTGTGTCTCTGTGGCAACGTTAGCTTTGTAGTACGGGGCGATGAAGGAAGGCCAGTGGGGAGTTCTAAGATTACTGCTTGAATCAAATAAAGGAGCCGACACATTATAGCGGCTTAGAAGATACACCCCATTGCACTGATTAATTTAAAACCAGCACAATGTTATACACACACACACACACACACACACACACACACACACACAAACAACATGTGGAAATCTGTCCAGCCTCTTTCTTCAGTCTTTTCCTCCATTTACCTTCCCTCTCCCTTCTCTGAGAGACTCACAAACAGACACGTGTGCACACACGAAGACCCACAATCACCCAGCATGGCCCCTGCCTCATGACTCCAGGTCATTATTGCCTTGGCAGGGATCCTCAGATGAAATTAGAATGACAACAGGAATGACACAGAGTGTAGCAGTGGAAAGTTTTCATAGGGTGAAGACGAATGCGTGTGTGTGTGTGTGTGTGTGTGTGTGTGTGTGTGTGTGTGTGTGTGTGTGCACTGAACAAATCTAATCTTCTCTGATTCATGGGCAAGCTTGTCTGCATGCATTTGTGATACGCTTCCTCTCCGTGTAAGCGCTCAGTCTACGAGATGGAGAGCGAGAGCGTGAGACAGAATGTTTTCTGACAGTTGAACACAGCGTGAGCACAACTCTCCGGGACTAAGTCACAAAGCCTTTCTTAGCGGGACCACCAGTTACTGCTGACAGCGCAGGCTGAGTTCATTTACTGCCAATACTACGTGTGACACAGTTACACATCCCAAAGGCTGAATTATGACTTCCTGATCCAAAGATGTGCTGAGACACCGCTGCTCTCTGTTGCACACCGAGACAACAGGGGGACGCTGGTTCTCATTTTCCTCAAAAGCACAGATAACAGATGACGTAGGGACGAGCAGGTTTATCCTTCTTTTAAATGCATATTGTTTTCTGAGGTTTCATGGTTTGTTTTTAAACTGATTTCCTGCTTTTCATGTAGCATTTGTAGATAACCAGATGATAGGTTTATTTTTAGCAGTGCTAGGGTGGGTGGCTCTGTGGGTGGTAATGTCTTAGACTATTACATCTAAAGCAACTGCTGGATGGACCGCCATGGAATCTGGTCCCAGATGATGTATCCTTCTGAATTTGTTCCTCTAGTGTCACCATGAGGATCATGTTTGTGGAGTTAATCTTGTGATAGGTTTGTCCTTGACTTTCCTTCGAGCACTAACTTAAGGTCAAATTTATAACTAGTGCAGCACTTTGGTTTATTACCCAATACTCAACTAATAACATTCCCATCAGCTAAACCTTTTGTTAGTAGATGTTAGCATGCTAAGATGCCATGTTTAGAACTGACTGAGTCTGTATAAAGAGGGACCACGCATCAACACTTTCTCCAACTCATAAAAAAAATGAAGCCAAAATATCCGGGATGCAAATGCAGCCATTTTGTGCATTTGGAGTCAGACTCTGGACAGTGTCCATTGGGGGATTGAACCTGTTGATACATGTCCTCAACCAATCACAAGTCCGTCTCAGCTGTCGTGACATTTCACCTTGTTTTTAATAACATCCAATATCTAATTAGAACCACACTTACTAGAATAGCGAACATTTTAACGGACACCACAATGACAAGAACCACCTTAAATAACAGAAACCATTTTTAAGAAAATGTATTTGATGTGGACTTAGTAATTTTTCCATTCACTAACACGGAGCAGGAGATTCAGACACTCAAGCTTCACTTTTGGGGGCAGTCATGTCTTCTATCTTTGTTTACAATCTATGCTTTAAGAATGTCAGAATGCTATATGTAGCTTTTAGCTCAAAATAGCACCGCGGAGCAGTCATAGCATTGACTTTTAATACCAGGCCTGTTTTCTTGACCTGCAGGAAGGTTAATAAAATGTCTCCCATAACAACAAATGACTCTAAAGGAGACTTTTTATTGTTTTTTTACAAGGAATCTGAAATTGGACCTTTTATGCAGAGAGAAGGTATAAAAGTCAAAATGTTTCACTGCAAACTCGACATGAACTATAAAATCTTTTACTGCCACTGACAGGTGAAAATGGTCGGCTGTACTGTAGTGAGGTATGATGACAAGGAGCATATAGCTACAGTAAATCTTGTTATACTAGTAAAAAAGTGATTTATTTCTCAAAACACTTTATATACTGCACCTGCTTCAACACGAGGAGAAATAAAGTGATGGAAGAATCTGAGGAGAACTGGTGATATTAGCCTGGGTGAGTGTCATGTAGTAATGCACCAGGTTTAAAAGAGCCCTAACTGTCACTGCTCCTCCAGAGGCCAAATAGTCTTAGAAGTGTTTTCATAAACACCTAAATAAAGTCAAGTGCTGTCTGCGGCCTCGGAGCTCAGCACATAAAGACATCACTAAACCTTTGAGAGATCCTGGGGCTTTAAGTGTGAAAATTGATTTTCAAGTTCTTTAGCCTTCAAAGAACTGAAGGCTTTTTCTTCTTTAAAGGTGGATTGTAGTGCACGTGGTGTCTGGTAGCAGAACCAGCAGGGCCAAGGATTTTCTGAAGCTAAAACGTGCCTCTCTTCATTGCTCGTAGTTCATAATCACATTATCACTTTTGTCTATCAATGCTACAGTATCTCGGATCTGGTGTAATGTAGGACGACCGGGCCATGCTTAATATCCTGTATTCCCTGTGGAAGAGATTAAGGCAGCTGATCAACCAGGGAGACAGCTCAGATCACAATAAACTGAAAGATAATTAGATCTGTTTATCACAATGAGCGCTCTGCGGGACTGTGCAGGGCTGCATGTTGCTACCATACACCCAGAGCCTGTCGAGAGAACCTGTTTAAAAGTGATTAAAAGTGTGACAACTCCAAGTTCATGTGAAAATTACGTTGATTAGAGCCAGACTCTGAGAGGTAACAATCAGAGGACGGGGCCACGGTATCAAGGTCAAAATCAGTCTAAGAGCACGGTCATACATACGAAATTGCAGGTGAATATCGTGGGCATCAGTGTCACAAGGACAATCTAGTACGACAGGAAACCTCTCTAATTTTCCTGACTCATTCTTTGACTTTATTTTGGTCCATGTCCCTTCCACTAACATGAAGGAGGCAGGGTTAATGACCATAGACTGCAGCCAGCCACCAGGAGGACATTTAAGACAGAGTGGCTTTACTTGAGAGGAGAGGTCAGATATAGACTAACTGACACAGCTGTGACAATGGCTTTAAGTACGTCAACGACTCTAAATTACTAAATCTTTGCCTTTGGGCTGTTTGGCCAAAGCTCTTTACTGTGAACAAGCATTAGTCACAGCCGACACTTTGACTTATAGCAGGACAAGCAGGTGAAACAATGCCACAGTTTAATTACGTGTCCCGGGAAGCCTCTCCAGTTAACCCACATGTTCAGTATCAGGACCCTGGGACGAGCCAATGTAAATGGAATAAAGCTTTAACGTCATCAGTTACACTTGAGCTTTAACTGCTTGCTTTGTCAAAACATCTGCAGCGAACAAGATCTATTTAAGTGGCCACAAAAATGCTTGTAGCAATTAACCCATAGAGTAATCATCCGACTCTGCAGCTCCCCACATAACATACAGTATGTTTAGGTTATTTCCTGACTTACACTGAGGATATCGTAATCTCTGATGTCTGTAGCATAAGCTGCTTGTAAATCACAGCAAAGACATTCCTTGGAACTCTAGAATCATCACGTGAAAAACATAATTTACTTATTCTGATATTTTAGCTCCTACCCATACCTTTATTACTACTTTCCTGTTGCTTCACCCCCAAGTAGGTGAGAGCTCTAGAAACTACAGCAGAACATTGTGTATGGTTTAGCTAAGAAGCCAGATTATCATCTCATGAGCTGGTGGAGACCAAAACAGAACTAAAAGAGTGAGTACTGTAACTGCGTTCACTAGGTTGAAAGAAACTAATAAAATACAAAGCACTGTTTTTGCTTTGTGCTGAATCACTAGAAAAAACTACACAATGGATGATATCGTCAGTTTTTAACCTGCTATTTGTATCTACTGCCCTCAAGTGGCCAAAATTAGTTAGCACAGAATTATGTGATATAAAGAGCTGCTTCTTATATTTTATGCAATAGTGGCAACAGTTAAAAAAGCCTTTTCTTGACTGAAATAACCAAAAATACACAACCTTATTCAGTATCTTGACAGCGAGCCAGGCCTTATCACACATCAGGCCAACATCACTAATGCTCTTATCATTGAATAGAAGCAAATCCCTGCAGCCTGGTTCGAAAATCTTGAGGGTGGCATTACTAATTGAACGGAGGATGTTACAGCAGTACATTCACTGCCATGCTTTTGTTGAACAACCACGTACAGTAGAGCTGCAGCACACACATCACTTGTGCTTTTAATGTTGCCATCCATTTTATAATATTGCAATACAGTTGAGTGTGCGAGGACAGTATGAGACCTTCCTGTGGGCACATTAGTCAGTTCTGTCAACACGCTCCGCTCAGCTCCAGGTTAGTTTTTAATTAAATTCAATAGTACAGAATGTCACCAGCCACAGACCCACACAATATCGCCTGCAACAACCTTTTCCTCCGATAGACGGTAGAGAGTCTGTACAAATTTAAAATACATTAAAGCTGCATGAATTAAACAGCTGATGCTGTACTCAATCATCAGTATGCACACACTTTAAAAAGACCTCAACGTTTATCAGACAGCAGGTCCTGGAAACACTCGACCATCTGTTCGGTTAAAGGTGATTTAAATAGCAGGCGTGAGTTTAAATTGACCTTTGCAGAAAAGAAAAATAAGCAAAATATCACCATATTGTGTCAGTGTAAAATCATTTAGTTTAAATATGCACTAAATCAAAAATCAAAAAACTAATTTTAGTCTTAATGTCTCAATTGTTTTCTACTTCTACTGTAAAGGCAACTCCATAGATATGTTTTCTGTAGGCTCCCTTCATACAGTCACTGATTTATTTCTTAGCACAGTTTCATTCCATGACATGATCCAGGTCAGCTTGTAACAGTAGTGAACGGCAGAGCATGAAATCCAGCACACGATCACTCAAACAACGTACATGTGGGGATGTGGGATTCAAACAACTCAGCGTTTCTGCACTTTTCACAGTTGATTTGAGTTCTTTTTTCTTTTTTAAAAAAAAAATGGTATTAAGGCAAACCTGCAGTGCGACACAAGCAGTCAAAAGACCGATTCATCAGCAGAGCTCAGAGAACTAAATAAATGAGATTTGATTCGTGAATGTGGAATAGAGGAAGAGAATGAGAGTGCTCCCCCACTCCCAGTGTCTGAGGATATAAAATAATTGAGTGTGAGAAAACAGAATAGATTATCACTTGGCTAAAAGAAAAGTCTATTATCACTTCCAGGCTTTTTTGCTTGTGCACACAGTGTTAAGTAAAATCAACAGCCGGGCCCCAGAGACAGAATCCAGGTCAAGAGAGGAGCCTGCTGTTTTAACCGCCCTTCACCTCCACATATTAAGTGCCTGCATCTCTAATGAGGCAGCATCCCCCAAACGTGGCTCAGAGCTCAGCCTTCTGTCTGTCTGAGAACAAGTTCATTCCAGTATCTTGTGGTAGGGGAAGAGGGGCAGGTCTTTAGTGAAAGCAGGAATATCCATGATGGCAATGGCGCCCGCCAGCTTGGGTGAAGCAGGAAGGAAAGTGAGTTTGGACACCTCACAGTAGGTAGTGCCAATTAAATCCTCGTCTTCGCTTTCTTGTTTTTTACCTCTACCGTCCTCATCATTCTCCTCAGCACCAAATCCCACCACCTTAAGGAGACAGGAATACATTTAGTGTGATGCAACATGCATAAAGAATAATTCAAAATATATTTTTCTCCAAAAAAAAAAGGCATTTCTTACGTGCACACTGAGTTTGCGGCTGTTCTGTCCTCGGTGTTCTTGGAACCAAGACACAAGCTCAGTCCTGCTCATCTGCTTCAGAGCCTCGATCTAAACACACAAACACTGATGTAAGAAGACTGGTTGGGCTGAAGGACACAAAACATTAAAAGGAAGTTTAAACCTCTTTAATTTATATCTTTATATCAACGCTGAATCGAATGACATATGTGAAAGAGGTATTTAGTCGTCACACAATCGTCAGCCATCTCTTAAGCTTCGTTACTTCACCATGTTTTTTTTTAATGCTCATTTAGAGTTTTGTTTAATTCCACCAGTTCATTTACTAACTGCACACAACCTGCTGATAAGAAGCCAGATATTTCCCTCTGGTGTTGATGGAGACCAAGCCAAAGCTAAATTGGACTTACACTGGACAGGTGGTCTGATTCTTGATGCCAATGGGCAAAACAATCTGCTATTCATCTGCCAGATTAAAGAGATGATATGTCAGAGCGGCACGTCTCTCGGTTTATTTTCATGTTCTTCTGGATCTTAGAGGTCTAATATTAGGTGTGAAATTTGGCATCAGCTGTCGTCAGGAGGTGGCGTCCACAAATGAACGGCACTTGGAACCAGTCTGTTTTGAGTGTTTCATAATCCAAAGTAGAATGGCACCTAGTAGAGATACAACAGTCCCCTCACATTCAATCAAGCTGCATCACATTGCATATATTTGGATATATCAGTTCCCAAAAGAAAGAGATCCACCCCCTGATCCAGATCTGCACCACAACGCTTCTAGTTTCATGGTAATCCAACCAGTAGCTTTTGTGTTATCTTGTTAACAAAGAAATGCAGATGAAAACATAACCTTCTTGGTGGAGTAATACGTTGAATATTTATGACAAGGATTGGGTCACATTGAAAAGAATAAGGCACATGTGGTCGACAAATAGAGGATAAAGTTAGAGTAAGAGAATGCAGTAATATTTACTAGTCATAGTATATTCCCACATACTTTACTGCCATATAATAGTTTGATAAAGATTAAGTATCAATATATGTAAGCAGAGGAGAATAGGATGCATGAATTTGTTTGTCTACTTGGCTAAAGTTGTTTGTGTGTGTGTGCGTGCGTGCATGCATGTGTGCATGCGTGCATGCGTGCGTGCATGCGTGCGTGCATTCCTCACCTCTCTGTTAAGCCTGTCAAACACAAACTGCTGTGTAACCACTTCGGCCCAGTTCCTGTCCACCTCCTCCCCGAGGTGTGTGTCCTCACACTCCTTCAGTTTCACTAAAGCAGTCACCTGAACATAACACACACACACAAATCCTTAATTCTACACACTTCATCAACTTATGCAGTCACTCTTGCGCTCATCGTTACAAAATGTCCTCTTAATCCAACAAAGGAAAAGAACAACCTTGGACATTTCTAAAACTTTTTTGCATATGTATCATTTTCACCTTTTGAATACAATTACAAACCTGCAAAATAATGCGCACACACACACACACACACAGACACACACATCACAGACCTGAGTATTAAAGGCTTCCTCAGTCAGGGCATTTAGCTTGTCCCCGAATGAAACCAGGAACTCTTCAATCTTTAACTCCACCAGCTCGGTACTGAGAGGGAAAAACAGTTCATGAGAGGAAAGAGATATATTATAGGCTTCTGGGTTTATTTGATTCTTTATTCATTCATCACTTCCTCTCTCTCCTCTTTCCACAGCCACACAGATAAATTGCAGCTTGGATTTGGGTGAGCAGTAAGACAGATTACACCTTGGTTTTGGGAAGGCGGTTGAGATAAATCGTGTCTTGCTTTTGGGCAAATAAAAGGTTACGATTGTGTTTGGACTTACTTGAACTTGGTAGCCTGTGTTTCCACGGTGACAGAGAACCCCAGTACACCCGAGGTGTTTCTGCAGGTTGGGTAGACATGGTACCTGCAGCGGGAGAAATGAAAAAAGATGAAAATAAAGTGCATTATATTTCCTGTCCTGACTTTCTCCACTTTGCACAATATAATAAAACCAGTCTGGAGGGCCAAGGGTTGGAATTTAATTAAATAGGAGTTAAACAGTAAACACTAAAGTCTGGGTAAATGTGACAAGCTTTTTTTCAAAGTTACTGGAGCAGTTTGTTGCACAAAATACAGAGTAAGACAATCCTCCTGCTCTTTTAAAATAAAATAAAAATGAACAAAGAAGACAAACATGTAGAGACACTTACTGGTACTAGACTAGACTACTAGATTATATTCATGTATGTAAAAATTCTCATCGAGGATGCAGTAGTAAAGTAGTAAAGTAAACAGTTGTAACCAGACTTGTTAACTAGATTTGTCAACAATTCCTTGTGTAGTCAGTCATTCATAAGTGGAAGCTGGAGCATAATTATTTTCAATTAGATAATGACTTAAAACTACTACTACTACTAATAATTATATTAAATATGCCTTCATATGAGACATTACAATTGTTGACATGTGCACATAAATAAACACTATGTCAGAAATGCTTTGAAATAAAGTTAAAAAAAAAACTTACCCCAGAGTCTCTTTGGTCCTGAGGAAGTCAAAGCAGGGTTCCTCCATGTGCATCTGAGAAACAAACAAGAAAGATGGAGGGATGACCTGATGGACTGAGAGTGAATGAATGAGTGGTTGGAGAAAAGAGAAAGAAGCACTCACCACCAACAGCTCCATCAGTGTGTGCTCCTTTAAGGCCTTGGGGCCAGACTAGATAAAAAGTAAAATAAAAATAAAATGGGACATAAATAATGAGCATAAAAACAGAGTATGCTAAAATGTGCACGCCGTACAGATGTGTGCAGATGTGTTTACCTGGTAGTAAACTGTGACCTCAGAGTTGGCGTCTCCCTTATTGAGCGACTTGACTTTACAGATGTGGTGCTTCACAGGAAGCTCCACTACTCTGAACATCACTGGCACATCTGCTGGCAACTTTGAGAACTGCAGCTTCCTGTCAGAGGAGGAGAGAGGAGGAGAAAAAGAGAGTAAGGGAGGATGGAAGAAATAAAGCCAGTAAGGATCAGAGGAGCAGGAGAAGAAACAAAGGAGAAAAAAGCAGAAGTGAAGAAAGTGAAAAAGGGGATCATTGAACAACTGTAGCTAATGCAAATTACAGATCTGTGATTGTATATTATTAGTGTTCTCGTTAGAGAGCATTCAGGATAAGAGCTGACTTACTCTGTGACATACTGCAGGAACTGCGCTGACTCCTGTGGAGGAAACACAATTAAATGATAATGAGCAGGTAGAGATAATAGAGAATGAGAGTATAGAAGTCAAGTTCACTCAGAATGAATGAAAGTACCAATTTTATTGTAAATCAGTCTATTTGTCTGGGTTCCAGCTGCGGTCGACTTACAGTGCTGCAGAAGTTGCCCTGCACCAGTCCCTCAGCGTAAAGCTCCGTCCTGAAGCTGCGGCTGAACTCCATCAGCTCGTCGCTGGTCAGACCGGCCGTCAGAGCCTGGCACTTCTCCACCATGGACCAGCGAGAGTGCTCCAAGACCAACAAACGTACGTCCCTGAAACAGAGGAGGGAGGGAGAGGAGGAGGAGTGAGGGAAAAAGAGGAGTTCTCTTTGAGGTTGTCACATTTCACCACTAGAAGGCATCGTAGACTTGGTGATGAATCAGAAAGTGAGTCAGAGACAAAGACACAGGACGAGTCTACTCACTTGCCAAGTTTGTCAGGTTTGATGAGGATGTTGAAGTAAGTTTTTTTGAGCTGCTCTGAGAACATGCTGAAGACGCCAGGAGAGGCGGAGAAATCAGCGAGGTGGTCGATGATCAGGTGGAACAGCAGCTGCACAGAAAACCAGACACACAATCATTAGAATGCATTAATGTGAACAATACATACAACACAAGCTGAAATATTTGTTGGTGTCTTCTACGTGTATGGCTCCTGAGTGATAGAAACCTTATCAACGCGCCAACTCGCTTCTTTATTCTCTAACATTTTCTGGACATTTCACTCGAGGGCCGGAGGGAAAAGATCCAGAAAATGTCTAGAACGACTAACTCAGACATTTGTGTTTTCACATATGGAGAATACCATGTGCAGAGTTCAGTGCATGTCTAAAAGCAGCTATTATAAGTGATACTGGGAAAATCATTTACAATTGAAATATTACATTTATTCCTGATACATTCACTCACAGACAGTTTGTGGTTGAATCCTTTGACCTTGATGACCAGGCCATGTTCGCCAGCCACCAGTTTATACTCCAGCTGAGCCACTTCAGCCTCGTAGGCCGGCTCTGCTAGGTTGTGTCCGAGGATGTTGACCAGCAGGTCGAACAAGACCACGCTGAAGGAGGAAGGAAACGGAGAGAGGACAGAGAGAGGGAAGACACGGGGAGGTAGTCAGAAAGGAAAAGAGGAGCAGGAGGGAGAAAAGCGACAAGGAAAAAAAGAAAGGAAGACGAAATTAATGATGGGGAGAGATAGATGAGATTGACGGGAAATGAGTAATTAGAGTGAGAATGAATAGTAGAAGAAATGAAAGAGAAAGACAAAAAAATTATGAAAAAGACAAGGAGGTGCAGTTAAAACAAGAGTGAGGGGTGGAGGATATTAATGAGTGTTACAGCACAAGAGAAACAAATATTATTTTCACAAGATTATATCTGAGCCTTCACTTACTTCTTAGCAGATTGCTGTATTATAGGAGAGATTAAGTGGAATCTGATGTAGGCTGCAGCAGGAGAGAGGACAAACAAGAATCAACACCTCTCTAATTTATGAAAACATCTTGCATGCTAAACGATGCACACACACACCCTGCACACACACACATACACACACGGTGACTCCAACATATTTCACCTTTTGGGATTTTGAATTTGTTGTCCTTCCTGTACCACAGGCAGCCCCTGTCGCTGTCGGCTATCCGGACGGGGAACTCTGTGTCTGGGCAGTCAGAGGGCTTCAGGGTGAAGTCAGTGGCTGGACAAATGCACATCAACAATAAATCACCATCATTCCACCTGGTAAAATCTCATAAATAATGTGTGAGTTTCAACAATTCAATATGTCCAGTTAGGGGATGAACATGCAGCAACTCAACGCAGAGAAAGATGTCATCTCCCCCCCAATAAATGATTCAAGAACCCTTAGGGCGAGCACTGAAGACGCACATTTTGTCAGAATACCAAATACCGAAAAATATATCATGCCTTAAAGTTTGGTCAGAGTTGTACCAGAGCTGCTTGTTTGCCAAGACAGAATTAAAAATCTTGAACTTTAATATTCTCCAGTAAATAAATCATTGCCGTCTGTTAAGGTAGCTGCAGCTGAATAACTTTTTATGCATCAGTCAGATTGTTGGTGAAAGAAAGTTGAAAATCGTAAACTTTAGTCAAGTGTTGCCAGAAAGTTTTATAAAAAAGAAATCGGGGTTTATTGCCAAGTAGGTTTACACATACAAGGAATCTGCTGTGGTGTGTTTTGTGCAAGCATAAATATAAGAATTTAAAAATCAAAATGTTGTACGCACAAAAACAGGATTATGCAATACGTTGTAAACACTAGGAAGGAAAAGAAAAAATTTTTTTATCCTGGCTTCAACTAAATTCTCATTCAGACAAGATTAATATGACAACACAACATTTATCAATCTATTTGGCATATTAGCCACTGGTTTAATTAGCTCGGGGGATTTCACCATGTGCTGACTGGATAGCTGAGGCTGCCCAGCAGCATCAATATGCAAATTCACCCACCGATGAACTTGTTCTCCTTAGGGAGGTGGAGGTCGCTGTTCAGCTCCATGTGGCCCATCCACTGCTCCATCCACTCCTGCTGGATGTCTGTGAGAAGATAAAACGTCCGTTAGCACTCGTGACACAAAGCATTTAGAATTTAGATCTGTGTTTTAAGTTAAGGGACCATAAGGCATGAAAGAGACAGAGATAATGCTGGCATTTGTTTCCTTCTTACAACCGACTGAATATCATCACACAAGGGGAAAAAAAAAAGAGTATTCACTGAAGCTCTGCACTGTGGGAAGGAGCTGACAGTAAACAAGCAAACGAACACAGAGAAAGACAAAAACACACCCTCCACGCTGTATTGTGTGCCAAACCACTTCTCCCGCAGGGGACACTGGCCCTCATGTTCTGGTGACAACAGCATCAGGTTGGCTTTCTCAGGGGTGAGAAGGGACAGAGCCGCACTGATCACCTACAAACACAAAGAGACAACACGGGTAAAAAAAACAAAACTACTTTTCAGCAAAGAGAGGAGAGTATATTTTGTTTTTCTTCTGCACTGTTTTTATTTTTGTTAAAGAACAATTTCAAGCTGTCGACCACAATAAGAAGTAGAAGAGCCGAAAAATGTTTATGCCAATATGTAAAATTTTACTTTACAGAATAAAAAAATGCAAAAAGCATTTTACATGAGTTCTATATATTTGATTGTATTTATGTTTTCTTTTCATTTATTTTTAGTTATTTATGATGATGTTTATGGTTAAACTGTAAAATATCAAGCCTCAACTGCATTTCTTTGTCATCAGGGTTTGATAACATCAGTCAGGCTCTACAGTGAAGTACTTACTTCTGGGTTGTACTCAAACATCAGCTGATCTCCAGTTAGGAAATCTTCTTTAGGAAACAGCTGCATGTTCTCACAAATGTCCTCAACATACTCGATAGGATCAATCTGACGAAACAGAAATCAGTGTCAGTGGTCGTCCCAGAACATTAACTTACATCTAACACAGCAGCATGTTTGGATGTTTCTCACCTGCTCCTGGTAGTGAAACTCATTTGTTTCAATCTTCTGGATCTCTTCGTATACTCTGCATGAACGCAAAGATAAATACACAAAATTATCATCTATATTCAATGCAGAATACACATAATGAACCCAAAAGCCAAAGAGAGTATGACATAGGTGTGTGAGTGAGTGAGGGAGTGAGGGAGTGAGGACCTTTGCTGTGGTCCAAGCGTCTGCAGCATCTTCAGGTACTGGAACACCAGGTGAGTCACCTGTCAAGACCACAGAGAAGATTTCATTACTTTAATTTATTATTTTTTTAATCGATAAACAATTAGTTCCCTAACTCATGTGTTGCTAAAATATCAACCCTTTGTCAGCATTAACGATTGGGCTTATGAGAAATCAAAACCATAAAAATCCCACTGATGAGACAGCGGCTGCCAATCATGGTGAGTGTGGTGATAATAAAACCATTAGACTGAGCTCTGACAGTCATTAGAAAAAGGTGATGACCTTTAAAAACTCAACAGGAAGTAATGCGTGTATTTATTTGTCGCAAACGTGGAAATGAAAATGTCATCTCCACCTAACAGATTAGAATTATTAGCTCTGAACAAAATCTTTCTCCGTCCTGACCCAACTGTTTGTACAGTACACAAACCTGTGTTTTAAATCTGAGCAGATTAAAAGAGGAACATTCAACAACAGTTCAGCACTTTGTTTTTAGCTCGAGATTTTCTTTGAGTATTTTAACGTGTTCAGGTCGACTCTTGAACGGCAGAAACTTAACAAAGGAAAAGTTTGACATTCTGAGAACTAGGTTTTTTCTTTGCCATCAGCAGTTTCCAAGCAACCAGAGGAGAGTGCAGAAAGGTTAGTGGTCTCCATCATGTGTCCAAGTCTGTTCCACATGCAAATAGTGTCTGGTCAAGAAAAAGTTCACCTCCACCTCCAGGTCTCAATTTTATTATTTATTGTATAAATTATTTATGTATGTTCTACTTGTATAAAGTATTTATCTGTATGATGTTGGATGTTGTCCCGTCTCTCCTGCACAATAAAGGCTCCTTTCTGCTCAGAGTCATGTGTGTACACAGAAACGGACGGAGCCTTTTGTCCGTACTCTGCATTAGTTTCTTCCAATGTTCTGCATGTCTTCTAACAGCTTATGGCGACAGATGAAACAGATGATGTGGATGTTTGTGCCGATGTTCCTGATGTATCACATTCACAAGAGCATAAGGTTTCCGTGACCTTTGACCACCAAATACCATCTGCTCATCTGTGAGTCCAGGTGAAGATTTTTATCAAAAATTTAGAAAATCTCTCAAAACCCTCATGAGATATTGTTTTCACAAGAACAAGGTCAGAACGCCTCCGGCCACTGGCTGAGTTAAGATGAGATGATTGGTCATAAAACAACCATTAGTGCACTGATTAGAGCTGGAGCGATAAATCGGTTGGTTGATTAAAAATGGCCGATATGAGGCTCTCATGTATGTTTGCAGATACTGAAACATTTATTTTACAGAATAAATAACACACAAATTGTGTGCAACTGTTTACATTTTACGTAAAAAACATTGTTTAATATCTCAATTGAAGTTCTATATATTTGGTTGTATTTGTGTTTTCTTCATTTATAAGGCTTTTTTATAGCCTCACATTTCCTTGTCATAAGGGTTAAATAACACTTTTTTTTGTGTATATATTTCTGGCAATTTCAGGGTGTCTGAAATTCTTTAATTGCGAAAATCAATGTCAGGCCCCCATAATCCATATTGATCAGTCTCGAGCACAGATACCACGTGAGCCTGACATGTGCCTCACATCTCCAGATAACAAAGTGCGTCACTTACTCATCGCACTTCGAGAGCCACACTTGACTGCATTTGAACCGTGATTCAGAAACACTGACAGTCTCTGATCCGAGAGACTTCAGGTTCATTCTCTTTAAATGGAGGAGTGGAGGATAGTGTTCTTCATTGCAGTAAACAACCTCCTCAGGGCCGACTCATTATTTATACAGCAGTTATCAGTGCAAGTTTGTTGACTGAAACATTTTCTCCATTAACTACTTAAGATTAGATAAAACTTGGCCTGTTGAATAATCGCCATGTGCCTCTCTGCTTAACACAAGAGTTGTCATAGCAACTGATAACATAGATTGTTTTCCTGAAATGATCTGATGTAACAATGAAAATAAGACAAATACGCAGGCTGTGCTCATGAATAGTAAATCTAATTTACAGGAGCAAAAAACACAGTGATTCTGTATCACGGGAAAGAAACAATATGAATGTTCCTGAACTGGACATCAGTGTGTAACCGCTGCTTGTTTTCCCTGATTTCATTCACCCAGAATAATTAGAAAAAAAAAACTAATTAGGTAGAGGGAAGAAGAGACAAATATAAGAGGTTTTAATTACCTGGTAGAAGTTTCGGAAACCTTCGTCAGTGAGGGTGATGGAGATGGAGAAGATGGAGTAGGTGGTGTTCTGGTCGAAGCCGGTTTCACTGTTTCCTCCAAATAAAGCCAGGGCCCAGCACCTGCACACAAACAGCAAGCACAAAGATTTTAAAAACAGGACGGCTGGTGAAGATTCACTCTCTGCCATAACCTTGAAAGAGAATGCACATTGAGGGCAAGTGGGTGGAGGTAGAGAAGCTAATCCACAAACCAGAAGATCAGTGGTTCGATCCCCGAGTCTTCATTCCGAACTGGGCAAGATAGTGAACACCAATTTGTCCCTGATGGCTGTGCAAGCAGTGTATGAATGGTAAGTGAAGGAAAAGCACTGCACATACAAGTACTCTATGACCGTTTATTTTATCAGCTTCACATTGAGCATGAGTATTGTTAAGGACCCAGGAAAGTGGATTGTGGATTTTGGTGCGATTTAGACATGCGATACATTCACTATTAATAAACAGGCAGCCAGTGCTCTGTAGTGGCAGCGGTTCATGTTTGTTGAAAGAACTTTTGTGGTCATGTTTTAAAAATAAATAACCCCTAATGAAGGAATTTCATGTGTCATTCTATTTGCATTTGTCTGCAGCATTTGACTCTTTTAAACATGAAAAACAACTTAAAAGGAAACTTGAGACTTTGCGTTAGAGGATTCTTCAAGTGAACATCACATCTTCTTTTATCTCTTCTAGTTGAAAAAAAAATAATATCTGCACTGCATTACCACACAAGTAGAAAAGACGTTAACTGTGATTGATCACACAGAGAAAGTTTTAGATCTCTGAAGGTTTTCATAATGCACTGAAATGAACTCAAACCAGTGGTGGGAGAAATAAATGAAAAAAAGTATGATGGACTTTTTAAAAAAAGACCAGCAGTGATGTAGAGAACACATTTTTATCGATCTGCTGTACAGTACAGTCACTAAAACCTGTATTAAATCACCAGTATGGCTCTTTAGAGGGTTAAGGCAGCGCATCAGCAACTCAAACAGTGTGTGTGTGTGTGTGTGTGTGTGTGATGACGTATGCACCTAGAAGTCACACAACAGTGGCCTGGTTTCAAACCAGCCTCTCAGCCCTTGATGTAGTGATTGTCTCAACTCAAAAAAGCAACTACTCCACTGCCTCAGCACTTTGTTCCGACTGGGAATAGAGACGGAGCACACTCAAATCTCCCCGTTGTTACTTATCAACAATAGAAAACAGCACTAGCAGTAAATAGGCTTATTCTATCAAGCGCTGCGAGTGGTGCTGCTGGTAAAGGGACTATTGGATGGGGTCGCCCGCTGTATTGTGGGACTACAGAAGAGTTTTGGCGAATCACTTTGCCACTTAGCGACAAGAGGCTGAAGCGCTCTTGTACGACCACATCCAGCCAGGGACGAGAACATACAAATCTCATCGTCGAGTGGGCCGTCCAAGTGTATAGTTTGAAGATAGGGCTCAAAACACTCAGAGGGTGAAAAGACTCATGTATGCCGAGCAAATTGAAGACCTTTTAACTGGGCTGTGGAGTGCCCTCAGTTCAGACACAAAAACAAACAGACAGGCAGAGGCAATAACACTCACTTCCTCCTGAGCAGGGAGAGGATGCTTCCTGTGCCCTCATGGCCAATCAGCCAAGAGATGTAGTGGAGAGGCTTCACCCTGAAAAGAAGAGGGAAGAGCATGAAAAGGAGAAACACACAAAAACCTTGATGCAGTCCCTCTACAATCAGGGCAAAGCCTGGTGTCTGTTGCCTCTTGTAATTCTATGTCGATATGAAAAGCCACTTCTCTCCAGAGAGGAGACAGGGATGTGGAAAAAAAAAAAAAAAGGACAAAACATATTTGATGCAATGTCTCTCCAGGCAGGTCTGATACTATTTGACTGTATTCATGCACCATGTATGGTATATCTATCGAACAACACATCAGTCATCTTTATTCAGAGAGCAGAACTAAGATGTAGCATGATGAGACAAATCATAAATACTAAAGATTTCAATAAAAACAACAATATTAATGGATGCTTGACTAAGTTCCAGAGCAGGTTGTGATCAAAGATTTTCATTCTTGATTGAAAGATTTCAACTTGTTTCTTTAACTTGCAATCGAAGGCCATTTGAGAGATAAAGGTCAAGGCTGAAGCCGAGTGAAGGAGCATGTGCAGATGTAGGTGCTAGTATCAGCTCTGATTAATAAGGTGGTCTTAAATAAAGAGAAGCCCTAGTTTGCACTGGTAACCAGTGAAGAAAGAGACGATTGTAGCTGCTGGTTTCTGAAAAAGCTCAAGACCTCTAGTAGCACAGTGAGGAAGAGCAGAGACAGGTGTTTTATAAAATTTAAGTCTGGAAGATAGAAGATGGATTATAGTTTTAGCAGCATGCGATGATGCAATAGGTTGGATTATTTTATCGTATCTGCTGTATGTAGCTCACCTGTAGTGTTTTTCCTGAGGAGGAAGAGCCCAGGTGATATTCAAAGCATGGACTTTCCTCACGGGAACAACTGTGAACACACAAACACAGGGAAGGTTTGTCGGCAGTGTAACCAAACTTTCCTTCTAAAATGTTTTTAGTATGAAACTCTTAGAGGAATGAAAAGGCAAAAATCATTTAGTAATTAACGAAAAGAGAAGAAAAATCTTTTTTTTGTGCAGCACAACACTGCTTTACTTTCTTGTATCTTTTATTTAGAGGTTGAGAACCAATGCTCCTAAGAATAAGAGTACAGCAGATGTGTTCAGAAACAGACAGCGAGCTGGATCAGTACCTCGGTAGAGCTTGTTGAAGGCCGGTGTCTCAAAGGGATCCGGCAAATGAGAGAAATCAGGCTTCGGCAGACCACTGTAGACATAAAACCAGGATTAGAAGGAGAAACAATGACAAATACTCGACTAATATTGATTAAACAACGTTAGTGTGTCACCACACGTCAACATAAGGGTATAACAACCACCACAATGTTTTTTTAACATCTGATAACCTCCATCAGGGAGGTTTTCACCCCAGACCACTTGTTTCATTGTTTGTCAGCAGGATTACAAAAAAACCAAATGATGGATTTCCACGATACTTGGTGGAGGGATAAGAAACAGGCTAAGAAGAATCACAGATATTTTTAGAGATCGCTGAAAACATTTCCCAAGTAAGTTAAAGGATGACTGTTTTTAATTACTTATTAATTAATTAATTAATTAATTAATTAATCAATCATAAAAAGAGTATCTTGTTTCTGCTGGATGAAATTTCCTGATGTCAACTATTCATATGTTTTTAGCTTGATGAAAATTAATTTAGTTAAATCTAAAAGCAGCTTAAGTAGCCTGAGAAGATTTCATAAGCTCATGGATGAGAGAGAATTCATTTAACCCATACAGGAGCATGTAATCCTTTAAGTGAAATGAAAGTAGTGGTACGCAAGTTTATTCTCTAAAAATCCTACTGCAGTGACTCATAAAGAAAACAGAAATGGAGCTCTGTAAGAAAACATGAATTCAGCTCAACTTTATGGAGAAATGATCATTTCAAGGTGTACGCTGCTGAAAAAAAAAAATCAACATCTGAGAAGAAGAGAGGTAGAAAGGAGCCGAGGAGGAGACGGAGGGAGGCTTGACATTTACATTTGAGCAAAGTCTCATAAGGACATTCAGACTCAATCTATTATCACACCAGCAGCTCATCACGGTGACAGTGAGACTCTTCTTCAATACTCACTTGTTAGGCACCTTGCTGAAGATCTCTCTCACCCACTCCTCCAGAGTGTCCAGCTTCTCTGAAGGTGAGAGCAAGTGAGGGAGGATGATTTAAAGTTGCCTTAATAATTCCGGCTAAGAATGTTTGTTTTGAAACAAGCTTTGACTGCATTTTGCCCTTAAAAGGTCCAATTACTTCCCTCACTGATTTACTGGTTGAGCCCGAGTGATTCATGGGTTGGCCGATCAAAATCAACCAATATGAGCCGCTCACAGACGTATTTATTGTTATTTAAGATCAATTTTAAGGTTAAACAGTAAAATATCAAGGCTCAATTACATATCTTTGACATAATGGTTAGTTAACGACATCTTAGGAATCATTTATAGTTTTTTTTATATATAGGCTATAAATCAGTTAGCCTGTGTATATAACAAAAAAATGCATTTAATGCAGGAGTGAATGGAGACTCCATTGATTTCAATTTCCAATAGTACTTATAATTACTTGCAATAACCATGGGACGTGTTACATGATCTTAATTAAGCATACTTATACTCTAACGGTAGAGTTGTTCAACATCTGGCCACATGGTGTACTGTACCTGTAACCACACCGAGCAGTGACTCGGTCAGCAGTGAAATTTTGAATCTGGATCTGTTGGATGTAAATGTGGTTTCATAAAGGGACTCCTGGGTCATGGCGATTATTATGTGCTCTACTGACTACCATTCACGTTTTTTTAATTATTTGTGTTTCAATGCTTTTGCAACAATTTTTGTTGTTTTACAGCAGTGAGTGATCAATGTGACGCCAGGTGAGGCAGGTTTAGAGAACATGAGACAATCTGATGTTCGCAGAAATTCTCTGTTGTTTCATGAGGACGATTTTTCTCAGCACATCATTTTACTAGATTGCAGTAGTTAATTAGCTGTGTGATATTTTCTGTGAAGCCCTGAAAAAAAATGTGTCAGATACTTCGTACTGTGTGATTTGTTTTGAGAAATAAAGCAATTTGAGTTAATTTGGGAACGATTATCTACAGTTGGCTGAACTGAATCCTTATTAGAGTTACGACTAATGGTGGTTTTGATTGTTGATTTATCTACAGATTGCTTTTTCATTTAATCATTCATTTGTTGTGTAAAATGAATAAAAACATTTACATTTCTACCAATCTACAAATTGACTAGTTTGTGATATATATTGAATGGGGCAGATTTTCCAAACCTTTTGACTGCACAGCAAGAGTCATGTAGTGGGCAGAGTAGTGTTTCTTCCAGAAGGCACGAAGCCGTTTATAGACATTGATCTTCTTCTTCTTAGGCTCCTGCTTCAGAGTCTGGGCATTTCCTAGTGTTGTCACAAGTGAGCAATCAATTCAGAACAAAGAGAAAACACAGTGAAGAAACATGTCTACAAATGTAGGGCTGACAGCAAGACCGGAAACTTGGCGCCTATCTTGGTTCTCCTGTTTGTTATTGCTGAACATACCCCAAGGAGGCCCTCGTGTGTACTATGTGTCCCAGTGGTTGTGTTTGCCAACTCACCCCAGCAGAACTTGCCCATAGGGTGTCCAGGTTTGGCCAGACTGCCAAACAGCATCTCCTTCCTGTGGGAGTCGGAAGGCTTAGCCAGCTGGTACTCTGACAGACAGAAGGAGAGACGGAAAAAAAAACTCAAGGCGACGGAGAAACAAGGTGACTGATGGCGTGCAAAGGAGCTGCGTAAGGGGAACACACCAATGCGGATAATGAAAAGGTTACACCAGAGCACAAATGCTGAACTTTAACCTGAAAAAAGACACAGAGACTCACCGCTGTCGACGGCCTCCACCTCCCTGTCGATGGCGTCCCGGATCATCAGGGGGCAGATGAAGAACTGAGCCCACCTGAGAGGGTGACAGGACAGAAGGGTCATAATCAGGGGGCTACATAGCAGTCAGATGGGACATGATGCAGGTCAGACAGACCCAATCAGATATAGACAGACAACGACTGATTGAACCTGTGGTGTTTGTCCCAATCACTGGGTTCACATCATAAACCAGTGGTTTCTGTGACCTGAACATGAAAACTGAACTGCAGCCGTTGTTCCACTGTCAACATCTTTATTTTGATGGCAAAAACTTAACCCACATAATAACAATATCTGGTGTTGAAAGATAGATGATCCTATGGTTGGTAGATAAATATAATGAACTTAATGTTCATTACACAGTTTATTTTGTCCTTAGGAACAAAAGAAAGGTGTGTCTGATCTGTAAATCACTGCATAGTTCTCTCGAAGTCCACTTCTTAGGAGCAAAAAGATAAAAAGAGAATGCTTCTGATGCTTCTTCACCTGTCAAGAGCCTCTTTGAAGCTTTTCCTCTGGACGTCAAACTGGAAGATGGTCCTCTCACAGTCAGTGGAAGCATTGTCAATCCCTCCGTGCTTCTTGAGGAAAGCATCAAAGCCGTTCTCAGAGGGGTACTTCTCACTGCCCATGAACACCACTGAGACACAGAGGAGAAGAGGAGGAGGGAAGAGGAGAGGAGAGGAGAGGAGAGGAGAGGAGGAAAAGAATTCGAGAGGGAGAGGCCGCCAGGGAGAAAGGTAGAGGAGGTGCAAATAGTTGAGAGGAAGAGGGTAGCAGAACAAAAGAAAAGAAGAGGAGAGATAAAGGAAGAGATGGGGGAAAGAGTAGATGGAGAGAAGAGAAGAAAAACAATTCACCACAGCTTCTTAGTGACATCCCTTAAAACTGTGATTTTCTGATTCAGGCAGCTCGACAAACACAGTTATGTGGATCTGTACCCACTGCTCTAAAAATTACTGTGAACATTCAACAACAGTTTTCATGACAGGAGGTGAGAATGAACAAAGGTTTCCTCACAGACTGAACATTTAAGAACAATGTTCAACAGTCACATCGGCAGAGGAGACAGTTACAACAATATCTCAGATGACAGCAGCATCAATAGCGAGGAATGAAATTCAGAGAGATGTGTACAAATCTTCTTTTTTTGCCCACGTTGAATACAACAGGTTCTTGCCTCCTCTCTGTTAGAGCATGGCTGGATTACCAATCAGTACGAGTCGGTCCTCTGAGGGGCTCTAACGCCCAGTTTGTGTCTCTTGGTTGGCAGTCAATTCATTATTAAATCTCTTACAGAGGCACCAGGAACTAAAATCAATGTGTTAGAAGCAGATTTTCCAGTAACTTTGTGATTATCCACATAAAGGAAGAGTGGGTCACAAGAAGCCTAAAAGCTCATGTTTTCCCTGTGAGGTGGGTAGACCTGGCCCTGGTTGAGGGGTATGCTGGGAAATGTCAGACATTGTTAACTTGTTAAATTAGGGAACAGAGGCTAAGAGGGCACAGTGAATAAAAACAATCATCTATGCAATCAAACTTTTGATTAGTGATATCAGAGAATGGATCTGAGAATGAATAAACAACTGAATCCAAATAAAGGATGAGAAACACCATCTCAAAGAAATGACCCCGAAGCTGTCGGGTTAATTACTCACTGTGTTCCAGAAAGTGGGCGAGGCCAGGGAGGTCATTGGGGTCACTGAAGCTGCCCGCTCCGACACACAGAGCTGCTGCAGACTGAAACACAGGAAATCAAGTCATGCCTGAATCTAATGATGCAGTTTAAGACTGGAGACATTTAAGAAACAAACCCAAAACCAACAAACGATTGATTTAATTGCATGTGTTGCATTTGTGGCCTGATGGGTATTGTTATCAAAAACTTTGATAAAAACTTCTCAGAGATTTATTTTATGTTTATCAACCAATATAATTTTAATTAATTGTATTTCCCAATATCGGTTTCAGAACCATCCCCTAAGAATCCATATCAGTAACCTCTAGTACCTGTTTCTCTGCATTTCCTTTCTTCTTCTTCCCCTCCTTGTCGTCATCTTCATCATCATCACTGCCCTTGTCAACATCATCATCTTCCTCAGACTCGTCTTCTGTTTCATCTCCAGATTCCTCCTCATCCTCCTCATCCTCCTCTTCTTCTTCTTCTTCTTCACCTTCATCTGAGTCCTCATTGTCCGACATTGGTGGTCCATTGTAGTCTGAAATGAGAAGCGCTCGCAGCCCATTCTCCAGCACAATGTACCTGAATAGAGTCAAGTCAAAGGTGAAACAGCACAGGGAGCTTTGAGAAACAGTATTGTACCATCGTGTTTTACAGCTTTCATGGTTCTTGCTTTCAACGGGCTGTTAAATCAAAATGTCTTATTTTAAGCCTGCATCTTACGCCCTGTGAGACTTCCTCACTTTGTTTTCTCACAGCAAATTTTCAGTGTATGCCCCACGGAGGCCCGAGGCACTGGTGTGTGCTTATAGCATGAAATCATCCCATCAAACTTCAATAATGCTGTACAGATTCGGCTGGAAAAGAAGCTCAATATCATTTTTGGATCTGGGTTAGTGGATCTGGGTCATTTTTTCTCAGCACTTTTACATTCACAAACACCAAAAAAAAATCCCCTGATGGATTCTATCACACATGAAAAGATATTAATAACAATGACAGAGAATAAACTGAATAGAGAAGATCAATCAATTACAAGTATATAGTACAGAGCATGAATTAAATAATCAGAAGAATGGCAGCATCTAGCATGGAATAGGCTGGGCCATAAAACAACATCAATGAAGCACAATGAGGAGGATCTACCTCAGATTTGTATGAATATTTTTGCTGTTTTTCAAGTGTTTGTCATTTTCTGCTCATAAAGAAAAGTTTAAAAACAAAACTTTCACCCAGGGAACAAAAATCACTGTTAAAACCAGAATGGCACATACCTCTGACAAGGCCAAATGGTCTCCTTGTGAAACCACATTTTAATTTACTTCATCCAGTAAAAATTCCAGTAAAAAATTCAGACCTACACCAAATTGCACAGAGTCATAAATATCATTCCCCTAAACATGCCACCTTTTTCCTCATCAAGATCAGATAAAGTGGAACAAAAAAATTCTGGATTTGCACCAAAATTCTCTGATGAAGTGGTGAAATAACTATCATAACTGCTGCAGTGTTTACAGGTGACATGATGGATGAAGTGTTGTCATACTGAGGAGAAGTTGTTTAATTGTTCCACGGCTTTGTGGAAGAGTTCTGTTGAGTTGTGCAGCACGAGGTTCATTTACCTGTACTGTTTGGGGTCACTGGGGGACTTGATGATCTCGCTGTCTCCAACATTGTCCTCCCCTCCTCCTGTTGCTCCACCTCCTCCTCCTGCATCCCCAGCAGCCTGCTCCACCTCCCGGGACGCTGGCTCCGAATCCTCTCCAACCACTCCAGAGGAAGAAGAGGAGTCAGGCATCGGGGATTTTCTGGACTTGTTTGTCTGCGGCATCCTCAGCAGAAATGATGATGATGATGATGATGATGATGACGAGTCTGTGGCACTGCGGGCTGACAGCAAGGTGCGACCGTAAACAACAGGACAGCTCTCTATCACCGGTAATTTGCTCCTGAGCAGCAGCGGCACAGCACAACGGGTCAGCCTGAGTACAGCTATGATGGAGACTCTGATCCCTGATGACAGACACACACAGGAGGAGGGAGGAAATGTGAAAAGCCCTGAAAACCAGTGGGACCAAAGAATAAAAAAAACAGAGGAACCAAGAGTGTCTGTGTGGCAGAGGCCTGGAGGTCACACACACACACACACACACACACACACACACACACACACACACACACACACACACACACACACACACAATACAGCTATTCACGCTGGCTGTCTGGTGGTTTCGCCCTATTCAGCTGAATGTCAGCTAAAATACGAGACCTCCCCAACCACAAACCCTGAATACCTCGTACCCACACACACACAGTAACAATACATACACACACACACACACACACACACACCACAGAAGAAATACACACACACACTTAGTAAACATAGTTGGCTGCCACGGGCCGGTAGCAGAAAAGTCATGTGTCGATATTATTTGAATTTAGCTTTAGCTCCCTCGGCTAGCGAGTCATTTAAAGTCAAAGAGGAGATAAAGGAGAAAGTTTGAGGAGAAGCCGGTGACAAACCTTCCTCCCGGTGACAGGAGCCTCAGCGAGTGACTCCGCAACAACACGCGCTGCGATTGGCTGAGAGGAGATCCGGGCCTTCCTTATTCAGATCTCTGATTGGCTGCAGGGGAGGGCAGGGGCGGGGTTTGCGGCCCTGGCTAGCACATGTGCTCAGTGCAAGTCAGAGGAGGTGGGGGGGGGGGCTGGAGAGAGAACATCTGCAGGGAGAGAGAGAGAGAGAGGACAAGTCCAAACATCTGTATGAGCAGCAGCTGTCTGTCGTCTGTGCAGGACAATGGCCGCTGGCCGCAGAGAGTTCGACCCGCCGGTAAATGTCAGGAGCGGTTGTTCTCTTGCTTTAAACTCTGCATCAGACTGGAAGTGGAGGTGAAGCGTCCTGTGAGCTGAGAGCCACTCGTCCACCGTGGATATCACCCCCCACACGTCTCAATGCACCTGTACACGAAGGCAAACCCGGATGACGATGGGTTAGAGCCCGCTAGGTGGCAGGCACAGGCCGCGAGGTATGCCGGGCAATTTTCTTTTTTTTACACCTGATTTTTGACGATGGTCCAAGATTTAGTTGCTTCTCATATTAAAGGGATAGTTCACCCAAAAAAAATGAAAATTCACTAATTATCTATCTACCACTTGACCGATGGAGGGGTGGGTGACGTGTTTTAGTTTCAGGGGTAAACAGTGTTGCAGTCAAATCCAATCCAACTTAAGTAAATGGAGACCACTTCTTCAAACAGAAAAAACCATGACATGTCTCCATACTGCTCCTGTGGTGTCAACCAAGTGTCCATAAGCCCAGACATTCAAATTCGACCTAAAACGGCATCATGTACACCATGTTTTTAGCCCAAATGTTCGCTGTTGTCCTCCTAGTTATTGCTCCTCATGAGCATCGCGAGACAAGATCAGCAAGAACTGCAGCAGTACCTAGGAGGACAACACTGGACATTTAGGATAAAAACATGGTGTAAATGACATTTATTTAAATTGGATTGGATTTGGTTGCAACGCACCCTTCCATCTGCATAGTGGTGAGTAGATAATGAGTCGATTTGAATTTTTGGGTGAACTATCCCTTTAAAGCGTCACCAATGGGTAATATTCATAGATGTATGTTGGCCAATGATCGCTGTATCAGATTAGCAGATAAATTGAGCTAAGACAATCCATACAGTACATTCTCATCCTCACGTGATGTAAAGGATGCAAGTGGTGATCCAAAATCTAAAACTTCTTCTCTGTCCATTTTCTTCCATGTGAGCTTACTATAACATGAAAAATATATATCTATAGCATATCATATATCATCTTAACACTCATATTTTACTATGATAGTTGTAGAACAGTGTTTTTATGTGACATGATGGAATGTGATCAATGAGTATTGCACATGATACATGTGAAAATATTGCACAGTGGAGTCTTGTCAGACTGAGGATATGTTGTGTATGATAATGGCTGCTAACCGGAGAGCGTTCAACACGCCACTTTGTCACAGCCGGTAAATGTCAGGTTCTTTGGTTTTAAATTCTCTGTCAGATTGGAAGTGAATGTGAAGCGCCTTGAGTTGAGCCACACGACAGCTGCCCTGGCCCCGTGGAAATTGCACCCCCCCACATGTTTCCACATGGCAGTAAACCGGGATGATCGAGTTAGGGCCCTCTAGGAGGCAGGCCCACTTCACGAGGGATGGTGTTAAATTATTTAAACCAGATTTTTGACGATGGTCCAGGATTTAGATGCTTCTCAGTCTCATGAAGTGCAACCAATTGGTTTATTCATTGAATTTAAAGGGCTTTCAAAAATGTTTCTCAAGCAATGAACTCTGTAGGTGATATTTAACTAAGACAATACAACACAAAACAAATTAATTCATCTTGAAGGCAATTTGGTTCAGGGCAAGTGCTCGTCAAAGGATCAATGAACTACGCTCGGCAAGTAAGTTTATTTTGAAAAAATATTTCAAAGCAAGTACTATTACTGAAGCAGAAAATTGAATGTGCTAATTTTACTTTTACTTAAGCACATTTTTGTCTGTTTATTTGTACTTTTACATAAGTAAAATGTTTGAGTACTTTCTCCATGAGACACGCACTGACAAACATTCACACACAAAAATAATACATTAAAGGAA